ATGATGTGAATAAACATTATGGCTGCATTTGCATAGCGTGTTTTCGTGTTACAAGTATTATTTCTTGTACTTTTAATAAATATTAATAAATATTAAACACAGAATGACATCTTTTGTATAAAAGCAAGCTACTTTAATAATAGCTTTAAGACATTTTATTAAATATTAAAAAGTGTACTATATGGAATGTTTTCAACATCTCCAAATAATTTACTCAGCCGATTAATTCATTAGAATTGACTGAAATTTACCAAATTAGTCTTTAGAAGTTCAAAATAATTGTTCAATCAATTCGATTAGTTAACATTTGAATGATTAACTTAATTGGAAATCGATTCCATATTGATGTATAATGGCATAAATATCTACATAAAAATGATATTTAAATAAAAATAATTTTTTCCTATATTTATTAGTATATATGTTTATTAATATCATAAATAATATAATAGTATAATAATATAATAGTACTATTATAAATAATATCAGGAGACGCGGTAGTGTCTCCGGCCAAGTTCAAAAACGACACTACTAAGTCAGGAAAAGAATCTCTGGCAAAGTTCAGAAAATGACACTACTAAGTCTCTTATCCTGCGCGCACAAAGTCGACTTTTCGGGGGTTTGTAGCAACTAAAATATAAAAAATTTTATAAAAACACATAGTATATCCTTAAAGGCGGCATCGCCACGACTAATTTGAGCCAAAAAAAATTTAAATTGGTCCAGCAGTTTCAGAGATACAAGCGGTCAAAAAGTGATGTTGGTAATGCAAAAATTAACCCTTAATCCCGACTCATGGGTCGTTTTCGACCCAAGCGAAATTTCAAAGTGCTGTAATTTTTGAAAACGGGTATGAAACGCGCCATATCCCGTACCTAAAAAAAGTTATACCCCCCGAAGACCCGCCTACGAAATAGCAGCGCGCCAGTCCCCCTCAGGTCGTCACAGTGAGCATAACAATCTCACCGCGGACGCAAACGACCCATGAGTCGGGATTACGTTGCCCAAATCAGCAGATAAATTTTTTTCTACTTTTCGTTTTTATGCGTTTAATATCATCAAAAAATCGTAAAAAAAAGTCTGCATACGTAAAAAAAAATTGAAAAAATTTTTTTATGTAGTTTTTTGAAAAAATGGCATCGAGAACGTCAGAAG